CAAGACCATTCACTGTAGAAGAATAGCTGGAGTGGCTGACAGTGCTGGATTGTTTCCATTTTTATGCTGACTGATCTGACAGTTCATAGGTCTTGTGTGGATTATCTATCTCCCTCATGTTAGGTTTTTATGAAGCTTCTTGTCTGTTGTGAAAACAGACTTTTCTGAAACATTAAGTGGAATCATATGGCTTCCATTCTTTTCTTTATTATTGATTTTAATATGATATCTTCTTTATATTAAGGCATGACTTACATATTTTTCTTGATTATAAAAATTGCTTTTCTAACTGGGTCCATAAGACAAAGCATAAGCAAAACCAATTTTTTGTCATAGATGCATTCAACTAGTATCATGCTAAGAATAATAATTAAAACAACTTTAAATAATGATTTTTTTAAGAATGGAGCTAAAAGGTGAGGTCAGTGCTAGCCTCAGCTTTCTTGAATCAGCTGTTCCTTTCCAAGAAGACATAAGGGAATATGCAGACAAATATAATTCTGTCAAAGAATCAAGAAAATTCTTTTTTTTTTTTTGTTTCCCTGTAAACAATGCAGAGCACAAAAAGTATCTATCTGGCTAACCATTGTTGTGGGGTTTTTTCTTGGAAAACCCTGATCCTATACCAGGGATACTGTTATGATCCACTTAGAATCTTCAAGAATTCCTGTAAGCAATCAAGAACTCTTCTGACTCATTTAAGTACTATTCACTAGAATGGTGGAACTGAAACTTTTGCTGATGCCAGCCTGTACAACGGACAGTAAAACAGTGCCACTCAGAGGCAGCACTAATGCCATATCGCTAGCTACTAGAAATAACATGTCTACTCATCAACACACCTCCCAAGTAGAGAACATTTCACCTCATTAGAGGAACTACCAGCTAAAATAGGATTAGCAGATGAAAATTAAATCAAGAGCACTGGAACAGGCTGCCCATGCTCTGGAGATATTCAAGACCCGCCTGGACAAGGTCCTGTGCAGCCTGCTGTAAGTGACCCTGCTTCAGCAGGGGGGTTGGACTACATGACCCACAGAGGTCCCTTCCAACCCCTACTATTCTGTGATATTCTGTGATATTCAAGCTACAGAATAGCTTTGTATAATAGAAAACTATATGTATGCACTAATTAAGAGGAAGTAGCTCATATTAGAGTTTTAAACTTTCATTTCCTATTTCTATTCTGCACAGCCCAATGGCTGGACAGCCCAGACATCTTTGAAGTCACAATCCTTAAAAAGTACCAAGCACCTGATAAACTGAATAAAAATTTCATGGGGAAGGGGCTGAAGGGGGGGAAGGGATATCTCTCTCCCAGAAGGAAGCCAAGTGATGATGTTGGGTAATGACCTTCTGTTAAACTGAGTCTCTCCTTTCTGCTGAGGCCTGAAGACTCTTTTCTTTTTTCTGAAAATTTAAAGATTTCAGCATCATGTGTAATTGACAGCAAGACCTTCCATATGAGAAGTATTTCAAATTTCTTTTTTCTAAGAACGAGGAATTAATTTGAAAAACCAAAGGGCAAGGAAGCAATGAAACAGCTCTTCCGTACTCTGCATATTTAATACTCAAGTTATGGCAATTGCCTTTTCCCAAGTTCCTATTCAGATAAATGTTTTACGTCTAAGGTAAGACTATACCTTGTAATATCAGGCACTTCTGTGATACCAGAATAGAGAATAGCCTATCTTTGGACCAGAGTGAATCCATATGAAACCATTCAACTCTCTACAGACCAAGGCACCTCCTGCCAGACCTTTGATGTCAAAACTTGAGAATTTAGGCACTTTCTAGTGTAGGCAACTGTAAGCAGAAACTCTGTAACTCAGACGTGAAACCACCCTAATGTCACTTTAATTACTTGTCCTTTATGTGCATAGGAACCCAAATGACCAAGCAAGGTGGCAATTGCTCTGACACTTATTGGGCTTCACAGACCTTACATAGTCCAGTAAGACTAGTGAATGCAGCCTTTCTTGTTAAAGTTCCTAGAGTACAAATCTAACCATGGTTAGACTCTTCAGTTGAGTGTTAGAACTTGTTTCCTAATCTCATGTGCAAAAGACTTGTTTATAAACTCACTTGCAGTCTTGCCCTTTCACTTTGAACAAATGCAAACATTGTCTTAGGAACTTTAACAAGAAAGGCCAAGTTCACTGTAGTACACCTCTAGTCTTACTAGCATATGTAAGTTCTGTGAAGCCCTATGTCAGAGCAATTGCCACCTTACTTGGCCAATTGAGTTCGTATCCACAAAATATTGCCTGGCAGCAGGCATCACCACATCTTCAGAACTTGGAAGTTTCCTATGTAACCGGCAACAGAAGCTGAGAGGTTTAGATTTATCTGTAAAAATACAGATATATAGAAAATGTGGGTGTCTTATGAGTTGTGACAGATTTCTCTGTATCCAGATTCTTAATTTGTCACAAAACCAGCTGTAAATCTGTTTGTGGATTTCATCTTTGGTCGCAAACTGATGCTGTAGTTCATTACTTTCATAGAGCAGAGAGGAAAGAAAAAAAATACAACACTGAATTTTAGAATTTTCAAAATCCAGTCATGAATCTAAACTTGGACCTATTACAACCATTCACCAAGTGATCTTATGGGAAAAAACTTCAATACAGAAAAAGATGTCAATTAGTAAAAACAGCAGAGAAACTAAAAATACAGCATACTGAATGTGTCATCAGGATACAGCTGTTTCAAAAGAAACAGCTATGTTCTGATTATAAATAGATGTAACAAAACTTCTAACACATTTATACAGGCTTAATTCAAGCTTTTCTGGCTTGAACTAAATTCTAGGTTCTTTCTGGTTTTAGAAATTCACCAGCAAATATATAAGAAAATACTTCAGGCACTAGGTTTTACAGCAAAGTCAAGAAAGAGCCCAGATATGAACCATCCTTTCAGTCACATATGTTACGGTGGAGATGGGCTTTGCAAGTGTGTGGCTTTTCCGATTGTCCTCACCTGTGAGGCATTTGTCACGCCATGGCACAAAAACCCCAAGTCAGTTTCCTAAAGAAACCCTCAGAATCTCAAACAACAGACATCGGAAGTCATACAGGTCACAAATATTGTGAGAATGGAGGCTGTCGATTAGTTTGGTACAGGCGTAATATAGGCCCAGTACAAGCTGTCAAATATGGGGCAGCTGGCAACAATGCGCTATAAAGGAGAGCTTGACCTCTTTTCTCTGAAACCTTGCTCTTGCCCAACATATCCCAACAGCAGTTTCCTGAAATGACACCACAGTCATAGGAATTCACTCACAGGGCCACAAACTGAAAGTGATAGAGCAACCACTGCTCACACCTGCCTGAGCAGAGCACACTGCTGTGATCTGCCTGTCTGTGCTGGAAAAAGCATGGGTGGCTTTCCCTCCAGATGAGGTACTGAGAGTATCTATTAATAACACTAGGATTTTACAGTTTATTAATTTGTATTAATATCCAACAAGATAGCCCATGATCAATGTATAGAATCATGAAATCGAGCTAAAGAATATTATTGTCTGAAAATAACTTAGGCCGACAGATTCCTTCTGTGTCTGTAGCCAATAGTGAAGCAAAGGAGGCTAGTAGATTTCTAAAACAAATAGTTAAGTGACAGCTCGGTTTAGCAGTGAAGAATCATTTTGCAGAATAAGAGTTCTGTCAACTCACAGTTTGGCCCAGGGATTGTTGCTATGTGAGTTGCTTCTTTCCTCTTTCTAGTTTCGATTATTAATCTGTCTTTCCATTACATTTTGAGGAGTCACACTCAGCTTCCCGGTCCCACATCAGGCAGCATGCAGTAGTCTTCACCAAAACTATTATTCATTCAGTCAAACATAAGCAATACTGGTTGCCAGTTTTAGGCAAGACACCACTGTGGGTCTGGCTCTTATTTGAAGTCATTTCCATTTAGATATTTAACTAATTTCTTGTTTAAAGAAAAATCTCTTTTAACTGTTTGCATTAGAGTTTCATAGTTCACAAAAATAACATAAAACTTCATTGTCTTCGCAGGAAAATTAAATTTACAAAACAGTGGTTTTTATCTTGAGTATATGCAGTCAGTCAGTTGGAACAGATGAAACATGACAATAGTAGAAGTGGTAGAGGACATTTAACAAAATAATTTCAAAAATCTCTTAACATTCCCAGACAATTTTGTTATTCAATGTGAGAATAGCTACTCTACTGTTCCTGTACTAATTATTATGTGTAATGTCACTGTGTCCTTATTTTGTTTGTATTTCTCAACTTGCTAAAGGCTCAATACTGGAAGATTTGTTTGTGCAGTACAATAATATCCAAAACACAAAATAAGGCGTATGAAGTAGAAATAACATATGCTGGTGTATATTTTCTACACCAAATGGTCTTGAACAAGATTAGGGCATCTCCCATCAAAATATGTGCATTAAAATTCTAGGCATGTCGTCAAGAGATCCAGATGGGTAGGAGCAGTTGAGAAATATAATGCAGTAGCTGTGTTACATCTGAAGAGAGGTGGAGGTCTTCATACAGTCTGTGTGACTATAGATGGTGTACTTATCTTTCCTTTCTGCTTCCTCTCCTTCTCAAAATCACCAAATGCAAAGAATGTTTCACGAGGAATGTGAGGAAGGTCCATTGGGACTTTCATTTTCACAAGATTACCATACGAAATGTTTCAGATGAATAACTGGTTTTCTGTAGTTTTAATCAGAAAAGTAGTGCTAATCAATCTAACCCATTGTTTTTTTTTTTCATTCAGTCTGTTGATTTGAATTATTTACATGGCTGGAGAAATAATATGATGGTACTATTTGGTGTAGAACACCTTATTATATGTGAAAATAAAGATCATCTGCAAAACATGATAATGCAATACTGGAATATAAAGTAGAAAACTGAAAGCATTTTCAGCATAGAATTTTGATAAATTACATTTTTTCTAAACGTGGTTGGTACTGATTTCTTACAATGTTTTCGGTAACCCATTGTTCCTGCCCTGTACAGCAAGGTCTACTAATCATCGACCTGCAGAAAGTTCTGTCTCCACTGGCTCGTCAGCCAGTAGTTTTGGCAGTGGATACAGCATGGATAGCGAAGGCAGCAGCAGTGCCACAGGAGAGAATAATCTGTTTCCCATCCCAAGAATGTAAGGCTTTTCCTTTAACGTACTGTATCCTCCATGCACTGACTATGTATAGCCCTTTCACTTGCCAGTCATCTTCTTATACAGTTTGCTCTGCAGACTTCAATTACACAGTAGAATAGCAGCTAAAGGGGAGAATTTTTCAGAGCTTGTATTTTTATTCTGCTTTGTTGAACATTGAATTATTAATAACCAACTAAACCTCTGCTTCAGCCTCATGAATTTATTGATATCACACAGAAGAACTGCTAGTCTCAGCCTTTGATGCAAGTGTGGAGAGGTGGGCTTGGGTTAGGCTTTAAAAGTACATTTTTTGTAGGCCTGAGCACGCTTAGTTTAAGTTTCCAGATTGACCTCCTTCTAGAAATAGGTGTTACTTGTGCAACTGAAATTCAGATTCTGGATGCAAACCAAATTTCCCCAGGTTTTAAAGAGTTTGAGTAGAATTTATCAGAAGTTCTTGGCTAGAAAAATATTTTGGGGAGGAAGTCCCTGTGGGAATTATCAAGCCACTTGCAGTGCAATGATCCTATAAAATAATTTAATTTTTCAGCCATTTTACCTGGTTAACTACCTCACAGAGAAAAGTTTTGCCACTACTTTTTTCCCCTCAACTTTGGCAGTATGCACCTTCATTTAGCATTTTCATTTATATTCCTTTATAGGAAAAAGTGATTGCTCCTGATCAGCATAATGTTTCTGGCCTGATTTTTTGGTAGATTTGCTGTTCTCAGTGGTGGTCATTGTTTATTTAGCATCTGCAATAGTTGTTCCATATTTTTATCTGGGACATAAATTATTGCTTTTCCCATGCAGTCTTGAATTATTAGTCACAAGAGCTCGACATAATCTTCCTAAAAAAGCTTGAATGAAGAAAAAAATTCATTCTTGAGAACTGTGACATTTCTAAGTATTCATCATTTTCTGAAATAAAGCTCAATAGTACTTATCTACAGCTTTTTAGTGTCTAAAAGGAAAATAGACACAAATTTAATACTTCAGTTTCATTTTCAGAGTCTAGGAGGACGATGTGAGCTCAGGTTGTGTCATGCCAGTCATTTAATCTTCATCAAACTTTTCACTCATGTTCTAGGCTAAAATGAGTTGTACTTTCCAGTGGCAAAAAGATGATCTTTAATTGGATTTGACAATCTCAAAAGAAAATTATTTTGCTATCATCTTAATGAGAAAAGCAGATATATAAAGTCTTTGTGCACAGAAAGAGAACATGGAGCTCTCAATAGAAGTTTTTAGCTCATAAATGCTAAATTTGAGTCAAAATCATATCACTCACTGTGTATTGCCTAGCCATGTGACAGTATCTACAGTGACTTGGCACTTGGCTGACAGAATCACCAGTCTATTAAGCCTGAAAACGGCCCCACATCTACTGAAAAGTTGGAAGAAGTCTCCACAGCTTCAGCTTTTCTCTTACAGTAATTTGTTTCTGTGAAATTTACTTAATTATATAAAATATATCCAGCCCACTCATTTTTTGTTAAGAGCTAGACTACCTTTTTTTTATTATGGAATTTTTAAAGTAAACTGCTTATACGCTGATGTTAGACAAAGACTTTAAAAGTTATGCAGGACATTTACATAGACAAGAAATGCTTTCTTTTTCATGTTAGTCTCAAGGGCTTTACATGGCAATGTAATGAAGATTAACGACAAAACTACTGTTTACCATCAGAGACTTTCGGGATCATCCCTGGGCAGAAGGTTTTAAAATAGATAAATGTTTCCATTTTGAATTCTAGATAAAAATTATTATATATCTGAATACATGCATGATTGAAACTCTAGTCAACATTTACATTCATACTGGCTTGAGAATGACTTCAGGGACTCTGACCTTGTACACTATTTCAGCATATCCTTAAAACTACAGCTCACGATTTGGACATGAAGAGTTAAATGAGCTAAATAATTTTAAGTTTCTTGGCATATGAAAACATTTTTGGTTATAAGTTCCCTGCTTAAATTAAGTTTCTAATCCATCAAAAAAAAAACATTGGATAGGCTGAGTTTTAAACTCTTTACTCTAGTCCAAGTGTTTTTAACCATAGGAAAATTTAGTCATGAAGCAAAATTAAAGAACTAAATAGTGACACCACAGGAATCGTTTAAAGAGGTAATTAGAACACTTGCCAATATTAAATACTCTTATAAATATCAAGGGAAATTTATCATTATATACGGTTACACAGAGCTGAATAAATCTTATAAAGTCTTTCTATTTGGGAAATACTTTTTCAGAAGACTCTTATTATCCAGTTGTAACACCCCTGAAAGTTACTCATGTTATCATCTATGATAATGACCAGATCTTTATGCCTTTGTATTGTGTAACCATCTATACCAGTAATATGTCTGTAAAATTATATTAATTTTGAATGCAAAGGTGAAAAGCAACTGAATCTAACCGTAAGGATGAATAATTTTTGCATTATATTTGTAATATTTTTTTATAAAGCATTGCCTCACAGAAGAACAAAAGAATAAGCTACAGTTAAAACTGAATTTAAAATCACTTTTTAAACTGATATTTTATAGTAATTTTTAAGTTCCTTATGAACTTAGACAGCTTCTGTTTCTGCTGTGAAACACAAAGCTGGCTCATTGGCAACAAAGAACAGCGCTGACCCTTTCTCCCCAGAGGAATCACATGCATGTGCAGATAATGCCTTGTACTCTCGATCCCAGCATTTCAGAACCTTGAGGAAGAAAGGCAAATAGAATCACAAACATCTCATAGTAGCAATCATATTTTTGAAAGTGATTGTAATCATGCCTTAGAGTTCACAGCAAGTATGTTTAAAGATAGACTACATTTTATCTACCTTTGCTTGCCTGAAAATCTACATCTAGATTGTAATCCAGGTTCTTTCTACATCCAGTGGAGAAAGATAGGGACTTCCAGAGCAGGATTTATTCCTCTCACCTTACTTTAAGATTAATGCAAGTCTCAGAACTGAACTCTTTCTTATGGTAAACCTAAACGGTAATATAAAGTAAACCATTAAAAGAAGATAATGACCTCAAACATGCCTTACCTTTGAAGTAGTGGTATTGTAGACCAGATATCAATCCTGTGACTCCTTATTATATATTTCACTGTTCAGCATAAGAGGATAAAGTGAGGAGAGGAGATATGCAGAATGGCTGTGGAAGCCCGGGCTGATGGGGAGCAGGTAGCAGACAGCAGCTGGTGGCCCCACTCTATAAGAATGTACAGGCTTAGCAAGACCCGATTGTAGTTGCCTCCAGCTAAGAAAAAAAATAATATTCTTAAGTGATCTGCACGAATAACAATAGAAAAAAACTACTGTCCGTTTTATTTTCTTGACATTACACACACATACACACACGTCCACGTTTTTTGTTTTTTAGAAATACCTGTGATGTTTGTCTTTTTGAACAGAACTAAGCCTCACTGGCTTTGGTGTATCATTTTCTTGGACCTCACCTCTTTATGATCTTGTTGACAATTACCACAATATCTTTTAACAGAGGGAAGATGAGCCAGAGTGGACAAGAACCAGTAAAGCAGTCGGGAGTAGGATTAACCGATGCAGAAGGTAAAAAGAAATACAAACAACACTACAGAGGTATCCCATGTTTATAGAACCAATATGTTTATTTCTTTTACTTGTTATGCTAGGAAAGATTAGCATACCCTCTCTTTGTATTGTAGGTTAAGATCCTGACTTTCATTTACTTTAAGGGCCCTTTACACATAGAACCAATGTAATGAGTCTTCAGTTTAAATGAGAACAGTGTCTTACCTGTTTGTTTAAAGTGATTAAATAGTTAGATTGAAATGAATATTATCTATCTTTAAATATTCATTGTTTTTCATGGTATTGGAATAAAAAATATTAAGTATGGAGTGACTCAATATCCATTATATCAGAAGAAAATATACAATGGCTGTGAAGCTCTATTTTTATAACATTTCAGAGTATTTACTTCATAAAGCATTTATTAATTTTGGTGTCTACATAAAAAATTAATTTAAATAAAAATATTAGTTGAAAGTCAAGCTTGACTGCTGCATGTAGACTATAGTGAAACTCTTATCTGATTGGGAAATCCTGAGGTAATTTTTCGGTGTGAATGTGGTGATGCCAAAGAAGGACACACTGTAATACTGGAGCTGGAAAGAGCCTGACAGAATGGCTGTCAAAGTGTCATGAGCAATGTGATTATCTCTTTCATGTGTAATAATGGACAGCTGTATGAAAATGTAGAGTGTTTTGTACTGAAGGATATGTTAGGAAAATTCCATTTCCCTTTGCATATACGGTATTTTCTTTCAAGAGTATGTTTCTGTTGACCTCAAATATAAAACTTTATTATCATGACCTTCATTTCATTATTAAAATAATACTTTAATCTTTTTAATGCATTGCAATGCAGCTTTGAGGTTTTAATTAATTCACAAATTGAAATCCATACAGGCCATTCAAGTTAACTTCATGTTAAGTTCAGCCTTAAAAAATCAACATTTTCAGGTTTCTGCCATGTGTATATGTCGAGAAATAATTGCTGTTGCTATATTTGAGGTATAAATGGTCTGATGTTCCACAGATTTGATGAAATCAAATTAGAAATTGAAGATAGAACTGTATAACTGTCTTATCCAAAGCAAGAATCCTTAACTGTGTATGCACATTCTAGTAAATCTTTCAGTACGTAGTACTCATAATACAAAAATACAAATTCAGCTACTTGTCAAACTTCAATTTGTTCAGTGGTATTTTTAAGTATTTGAAAAACAAACTATTTTTTAAAGGAGAAATAGTGCTATGAAAATGGGAAATCAGGAATTTTCCATTTTTACTTTGTCATGATGTGTTTTGTACAGAATGACAATTGTAAACAAATAGCTTTTCATCATTTTGTTCATCATAATTTGCTTCTTAGGGTCTTGGATCATAAATTTCAGAACCTACAAATACAAAATGTTTTAGTTTAATGTTTGTGTCATTCAAAAAACCCCAAACAAACAAACTCAACCAAAAAAACACCTTCTGAAGCATTCAAAAAGATGTATATATACCTTTTGGTCACTAAAAATGCTTTTCCAGCCAAAGGCATTTTTCTGCTTATCTTCAAAATCTGCAAGTAACTCCAGAGCTGTGATTCTCTAATGTTCACTTATGATGCAATTCACCTCTCCGAACTCGAGAACTCTAAGAGTTGCAACTCCAAGTGTGATAAAAAGTGGTTCTTACCAAGTTTTGTTTCTCCATTTGAGAGAAGCTGAGGTAGCCAGCCTAGTTTTTACTGTCTGATTTCTAGCTGACTAAGACGGGACACATCAATCTCAAAGGATAAATGATTTTTAAACTAAAAGATGGAAAACAATTCAAGATCATTTTAGTTTCAGCATGTAAATGTAATTGTCTTGCGGGAAAATAGTTCAGGATTTAGAGGAACTCGAGATTAACAAAGAATTACTTCAGTATTGTAGAACTATTGTGGTAATCTTTTCATAGACGAATGAAAAAAGTCTTAAAGATCAAATTATATATTTTCTGTAGTTCACTTATCTGTCTTGTGGGCCAGATGAAATCTGCAATTAGCTGGATGCAAATATTCATTTCTATTTTTCATTAATCTATAGAGACCTCCCATAGCTAACATTTGTATTCTTATTTGAAAAAAAAGGATTTAGTGTTATACCTGAAAGCTTTTAATATTAGTACTGTTTATACATTTTCAAATATTCATAATGGATAACTTCTGTGAAAAGTAGCATGTGGATTACTCTAAAACCATGCAGAATAAATTCAATTGATTAAACATAAAGATCTACTGCTACTTGAAATGTTTGTCACCCAAGCCATTCACACAGGCCTGGCAAATGTGGCAAGGAACTTACAGGAACAAGATCTTTAAGACCAATAGCTGGAGACAAAGCAAGGTAGGACTCTCAAATGGCAAAGCAAGCTGTTTTTCAAGCAGCTGAATCAAAACTTTAGCAACAGGGTTCAGATCTAGCTCACAGGGTATGACACCAAAATTCAGGCATGTACATAAGTGGAATCACTGGGGAAAAATATACTCCTTTTGTAATTGTTTACCCACTTGAGAAATGTGCTACTGATTTTGTTGGGAACAGTTTTTGTGCTATTAAGATGTATCAGTTAATTTATAAGTGTATATTGGAAAACAGCACTATTTACTTTGCTGACACAATCAAGTGGTCAATACAAACAACTGTGAGTATTTCTATGATAATCTTTTGTTTCTCTGAACATATCATCCTGTCATATTCTGTATTTTCTTAGTACTTAGTAATATAAAATAATTCAGTGTTTTGTTCTTGGACACTGTGTTACAATTTTTATGATATGCATTGTTGCATGCTATCTTACACTGGACATTCTGTGCTGAGCAGATGAAATACTTCATCTTTTTAAAGTTCAGTAAATCTTATGATACATATTGTGATCTTCATTGAGTTATGCAAACCAATTTCTCTATTCGTTTCAGAAAGTGCAATATCTTTTGTTTAGAGATCTCTTATGACATGCTGTGGAATATTACAGACATTATAGACAAAAACGTCAATTGCATTCCATGTAAGGATTGAAACTAACAATTAAAAGCACATGACTACTATTTTGATTCAGTTGTAGATCATGACTGGTCTATCTGCCTTATGAAACTGCTCAGCCAATAGATTCCAGATGGTATTATCCACTTACCAACTACTGAAATTAAGAAATGTATGGAGAAAATTATTTTTGTATATTTCAAAAGTGTGAAATTACTAGGTAGTCTCAAGCTGCTGTTATTTCTAGTAGAACAGAGATATATAGTTAAATATAGCATTTTAAATGAAATAGTTCACTATAAGGAAATTTTGGATCTTCTCATTCTGAAGATGCTATATACATGCAAAATGTCATTACTCTAGGTTTACAGACATTGAGGTTCTTCTCAAAGTGTTTTTTAGGAAAGATGGATATGTAGGAAAGAATGGCTTGGCTTCACTCATTCAGTACTTTTTGGAGTGAATGAGTACTCACAGTAATTCTATCATTCTCCGTGCTTGGACTTATCATTGTCAGGATTTTCAGCCAGAAAATTGCAAACTTTGTATAGGCACAGAGTTGCTCCATACTCACATCTTTCAAGAGAGTGGGGTTTTTACGTAAAAAAAAAAAAATTCTCATCCAGTCCATGTCCTGAATACCAAAAACTTCTCTACACAGTTCTGTCATGGCTCAGAGGCTTACTTTCTGACATTTCCAGTGGTCCTTTCAGCATCACCTTTTTGAGGGTGCTAGAATGAAGTCCTGTAAGTAAGAAAGTCTCTCCATGTATAAATGACTGAATCTGAACAGAAAATTGCAGAATATTCTAGTAAAGCCTCTATATATCTATTTGCACACCTGAGCAGAAGGAAAAGATTTGTACTCTTTCAAAAGCCGATGATACACACATACTTACTGAACTTCTGCAAGATGATACACTAGTGATACACACTGTTTACACAACCTTCAGTGAGCTCTTCCAGAGTTTTGGTTTTTGCATGCTGTGTATTTGCCTGAGTTACAGATTAAAACAAACAAATAAACAAACAAACTGTGATAACATCATGCTTTAACAGGCAAATTTTACAATACTGCAATTTTCATTTAGTCTATTCAGAGCAGCGTAAGACAGAAAATGCTGATTTTTTTTCTTAATTTTTGAGCTTTGTAGTTCATCATCTTCAATTACAAACTAAGGGATTCCGTTTTAAGTTTCATCATTTAACATTGTATTTCATTAATTGAGATGGTCTAATCTTTATTTATGAGAAAAATGACTGAAATACCACACAAACCTTAAAACAGACTAGGAGGTCATTTTAATAACATTTTGGAGGAAAGGTGCATGATCTCGCTAGCTATGTGACTGGCAGTTGTTTGACTTGTAAATTTTCCTTTATAGCTTTATGAATATTCTCGGTGAATTTTTCATCCATCGTGTCTGTGCAGAATAAACACTGGAGCAAATTTTTTTTCAAACTGTATCACACTTTCTCTTGAAGGGATGCCCAGGAGTACGATGTGGCTTAGAGCTCTCTCGTAACACAAGGCATGAAACAAACTGACAGGACAGGAACAACTAAGCATTGCCACATTCTTCATAGTAATTAGAACTCAGAAAAAAGATTCATTCTCCTTTTCCTGGCTGTTTAGTTAGGCTAGAGTAACTCTGTCTAGGCCAAAGGACTCACAGTGGTGTGACTGAGCAGGCACTGAGGACTGAAATCCACTTGCTGCATCTCCACACCTTAAAAATTTCACATTTTGATTTTTCCTTAACTCCAGTGATTGAAATATTAGAACTATATTAGCCCTTATAAGGATGTTCAGAGAGAAGTGATCGTAATTTTGGACCTCCAACCAGAAAACTATAAGCGAGAGGAGAGAAAAGACAGAAGAAGGAAATGATTGAGGGCTAATCACAATATAGTTACTGAGATTTGCAAATGCGTTTGCCTGTGCACAAATATGTACCTTAATGTCTTGGTCTGCCAGGCTGAAAATACAGGTTTTACTGCAGATGAGAACAT